GCTGTACCGAGGTCCACTAGATTTTGAATGTTTCTCGGTTGGTCGTAAAACAATGGTATCCCAAGAACTGGAACTCCCGCGTCTACAACTTCGTACACTCCACTCATCCCACCGTGACTTATGAACAATTTCACATTGGGATGCTCTAAAAATTCAACGTTTAAAAACGGATATAAAATATCAGGTGTATACTCAAATTAAGAGCTTAAATAAAATCCTTTGAGTATAATTATTTACTGTAAATATTTATATAATATAATTGTAAATTTTTCAGACTTTATTTTCATGGGTTTTTCATATTTATATATTTATATAACTGCATATAAAATTGTAGTTTTATTTCAGACACCTTAGAGTAATTTATTTCCCTAATCGTTGTATATTTACAMAAGCAAATACTGTAAAAATTATATAAATACAAATATGTAACATTTCTAACGTATCACTAAATATTTACCTACATATTAAACTAAAACGATAACATTTCATTGTACAATTTTATTGACTTAAATATTTTAAACCTTATATATTAGATTAGATGACATTAAGGTTTAGGAGAAGTTTCTGCAGATATGGGTCCAAGTCTATTTGTTAGTCATCGATTACAATTTAACTCACGTAATATAGCGCGCTGTGGTAACCATTTACACAACACCACATTTTCTGGCTTGTCGGGCATGTAATCGTTCTCGTACTTCCAAATAACCGTTTGGGGAAGTTGACTAAATACGATTTTAAACGCATCTAATACATCTTCAGGTAGTGTATTCATGGAAATCAAAGAGCCAAAAGTAAACACGATGACGCCGAATTCATTACTCTTGTCCAATACATCTGCTAAATCCTCCAGGAAAACAATGAATGCATGAATAATTAACAAAAACAATRATTATAGGTAATAAAATTATAATTATCATGACATCAAAATTCATGACTGATTCCACGATAGTGTCATGACGCTAATTTTGAATAAATAATAAGGCTGAGAGTGTTCTTTTTATTAATTTAGTATTTTCTTAGATCTATTTAGAAGCTTTTTTTCTAGTAAAAAATATATTCAATGCGAGTTATTGAAAAGCTCACGCAGTGCATATATTATTGAACTATACTTTTTATAATAGTGTAGACTTAACATTTGTATTCTAATKATCAGTATATGACAGAATATATTATTTTAATAATGGAATGGAGAATCTTAAACAATATAACTTTTTTTTGGTGTTGGAACGTTGGAAGACTAAGATATCGTGATTCACATATTATGTGTGGCTGTTAATTATCAATCGTTAAAAATAGTAATAGAAGAATAAAACTATTAATGTGTCCTGAATGGTTTGATCAAAACTATACCCAATGAATATTACAATATTTCACTAGGCTAGAAAAAGATAGTTATTCCAGATTTGAGTTCATAATTTGTTAGTGTAATTTAGATAAGGTGGATACTTTGATTAGGTTTTTGTTTATGTTATCACTGCCATGAATAGAAACTTCTCACAGGTTAGGTTCAACTCAAAGGTTCATACAATATTCCATAAATAGTA